GCCCCACTGTTAATATTAGCATTTGCCCCATTATGGCAAAATGATTACTCACAGTGCTAGTGGGATGCTATTATTATCGCTTTGGGATAGCAAATCCTCCGCGCTTCTGGCTATACGTGAAGCCGAGTCCATAACCTCCTGCACCGCGCCTTCAATGAACTTGCTAGCTGGAAGGGTATAGTTGTAAGGGTTGAGGTGTGTGTATGGGAAGTACAGCACCGCAATGACGGAACTACCAGGAAGCCGAAGTCAGCCATATTCGACCACAGTGGGGACCGCCTCAACACATCAACTTACTCTGCAATTATCTTGGATAGTTGGCAAGGTACATCACACCTGTCCATGGACATCTTCTGAGAAATATCAAGGGAGAATTCAAAGTCCCCCCTCAATGCTGTCACCTCGGAATGAAACGATATTACCTCCATAATCTCGTTGACATCGACGTTACGACGCTTATCATTATATTTCGCATATCCCAGACTTCCTTGGAACATCATAATCCTCGCCATAACACGACTAAGTTCACACTGCTTGACGAAGTTGTCGATTGACAGCGTTTTGGAAATAGGGCTCATAAAACATGGCTCTGCTGACTCCATTCCAAAATCTTCCGGAGTCACAATAATCTGAGTCAATGGTTCTGTGTGCAGGCGATTGATCCTCCGGAGAGCAAATGCTAGCATGGAGTTGCGAAGCTGGCAGCACCACCAGATAATTTTCCTTCGGCCCGGACTGACGAATATATGTGCATAATCTAGCTCCTGTAAAATGGCTGCTCGAGCATGTATAAATGCCTGGTCGACCCAGTAGCAATTTGACTGCTCCTCGGCACTGAAAGGACTCCAAAAGCTAAGCAAGATGGCTGCTCTGGCACGACTAATTGGCGATTCTTTGGCGGATGCGTGATAGGTTTTCTAACAGGATATTGTTATTATCTGGGAATTTTATCAAAATTGGAACACCGAACTTACTCTGGCCGCCTCAAAAAGGTGGCTATGGCACTCAATTATCGAGGCGTATTTTGTTTTGCATATCTGCTCGTGGTTGAGGTGCTAATATGGCTTAGTATCCGCGATAGGGCTTTCTGATCTCTGGGGTGTGAAGTTACCATCGCGCCCGCAAATAGTAGAGCTTGAAACTCCACCAAGGTAATGTTTTTCAAGAATGCCATGTCGCCTCTACGGTAGTAGGCGTTGTGAAATTCAACTTCGTCAAAGGCTGGGCATAGTGGGTGCACATGCTTGAAGTAGAGGATGACGAGCTCATCGCGAAAGAATTTGGGAGGAAGGTTAAAAGGGTTGTCTTGGCCCAAACCCTCCATTTCGTCGATGCCTGGCCAAATGTCCGGAATTGGCTGTTCCTGACCTGAGCCATATCCCATCCCTTGAGACATAGACTCGGTCATTGCGGAGCTGCCACTGTCGATGTTATGCTCGGTATTGTACATCGTATTGTGTTGCGTTCCATGACCATCTTGCCCGTCTGGCGAGATGGTGCTGCTGAGCTCATCCCATAAACCCCAATACCAGGACGCAAGTTCGTCCCACGGGCCTCTCTTTCCAACATTTTCGCCTTCTGCAAATCTCTCCGCTGCCGCGAGGGCCTCCTCAAAAGTCTTACTGGCCATGAAGAGCTCTTATTTGCAAAAAGACGAGAAATTCAGAAACGCGTTGTGTGAAGAAGTAGGTGGACATAACTTAGAATCCATTCTGCGGGGTTTAGCCTGATACATGTGATACTGTACATGTGGCGACCGCTAATGGCACGGACCCTCTAACCACTAGGGCGTGGTCACATGATATGTCGAGTTTCAGCGTTTAGGGCCAGAACCAGCGGTTCGCCTTCATATGATAAATAGTAAAGGAATACTTAGCTAGAGCTTCAAAAGATCTAGAATATTAGAACAAAGCTAGAGGGAGGCCTAGCCGCTATATCAAGTACTGTGTTGTCGCTGACTTACTCGACAACGTCGAGTCAGTACGGGTCGCGTCCGTGGGCATTACCCCGCCGATCCCTATGCCTCGCAGAATCCCTATACGGAGGTGTTGTTCATAAGTTTTGTGAGTGGGTCGGGCTAGGGCCCCCTGCGTAGGCTGGTTTGGCAATTCTGGCCAAAGTACCGATTCTCACGCGTCACGAACACTTGAGTGTGAGAGCAATCAATTCTGTAGAATAATGAGTAGAGTAGATACCTAAACCCCTATATAAAACTATACTATAAGCCTAGTACTCTGTGTGCATACCATTTGCAGCAATTACTGCTGCCATACGTGTAGGCATACTATTAAGGAGAGCATTAAGCTCAGCTTCTCCAACTTGCTCCCATGCTTCCTTAACAGCTACACGGAGCTGGTCGTAGGACATATGTTCTGGATGATTATCTTGTAGATAATTCTTCATAATATGCCACACCCGTTCAATTGGGTTGAGATCTGGTGAATACGGGGGCCATTCTATAGGGCAAATACCACGGGATCTCAACTCTTCATATGTTGCACCTGCTCTATGACCTGGAGCTCCATCTTGCATCAATGTAAGGCCTGGGTATAGGCGTAGCCAGCCGTGGATTAGAGGGACAGTATGAGCCATATAGGACTCAGCTCCTATTTTCCCATATTCCTTCTCCCAAAATAGTATAGGACCCTTTCCAAGACCACCTGAGAAGCAGCCCCAGAACATCCAACCTCTAGGGATTGTTAGTAAATCCTATAGTAAATAGGAGTCTCTTACCTTCTCCGTTGTACTCTATCTACAACACATGTATCATCCCACATTTCCCCTGCTTTTCGAGTAACCCATGTACGAGTATGGCGGCCTCCCATTACCCACGTCTCGTCAGTCCAAAGTATCCTATTCCAATCATTCCGTACCCAATCCTTATGTTCAATAGCCCATGAAAGTCGCTTTTGTCGATTTGTCTCTGAGATAATAGGCTTCCGCATAGCAATCCCTTAATAATTATTAGTCTATATAGTAGTAAAGTAGAGAGGGATACTTACGTCGATTATAGCCTCTCACAGACAGAGCGCGGGTTAGGACAAGCCGTGAGCATGGAATATTAAGAATGCGTATTATATTTGTATATGGCATAACGTACATGTATAGCGAAAGCGCCAAACAAGCGAAAGCGCCAAAATTATCTACCCTCACGACAAACATTGCGATAAATCTACCACAACATTAGAAATCAATTGAAACTACTCGGAGTCCTCTTCCTCAGAGGTGTCTATTACAATCTGACACGTGCGCGCATTGTGCCCAGTCTCACCACACTTGCCACAGCGACGGGCACGGGTTTCTTCCCTTGGCTTCCGACCACGGCTTGCCCTTATTTCCTGCTCTACCTGCTGCACAACATCCCTCTCATCCTGTAGCTCTTGCGCCCCTTGTTGACTAAGTGATCCTCCTTGCTGTAGTCGTGTTTTCCTAGCTCTCCGGCGCTTGCTTAGTACTTCATTTGCCTGTCGTAGGTTTTGGTTCTCTCCCTTTAGCAGTGCTAATTGATGCATTATTTGTGATGCACCCTTTGTAAACTGGTCAACAGCTGCATAGATTGAGGTTGGAGAGCTATTTTGATGGCGTGAAATCCGAGTTTTAATAAATGTAGACTGTGACATAGCTTCAATTGGGTTGTTTGGTGTCTGAGAAACCCAAGGTTGAGCAGTACCTGGGCGGGAGCTTGGAGGCGTTGGTGTCCTTAACTTAAGATCAAGTGTAGATATCACTCTCTCAGGGTCAAATGGAAGAAGCCCTGCCCCTCGGAACCCGCCTCAAATGTTACTTTCCGTCATTGTAGTGTTAAATGCAGCGTGGAAGGCAGGAAAGAAGTCATCCTTTGTAATATGAGAAATATGAGCCTGCATCATATCTTCAATTTGCCGACCATAGGCCTGCTTTAACGGGCCGAAACAGCCAACATCAAGTGGCTGGAGTAGATGAGAAGAGTGAGCAGGCATACAAAGCGTAATAATGTTGTGTTCCTTGCAGTACTCCTCAAACTCATCTGAGTGGTGGCTCTCATGACCATCAAGGACTAACAAGCGATAACCACCAACACTCCGGGCCTTTGTATGCTTCTCAAAGTGCTGAATCCAATCCATGCCTCTCTCGTTTGTAGTCCAGCCATTTTCAGTAACAGAAATCACCCAATCGCTTGAAAATCCACTATTCTCATACCAAGATGTAAGGTGGTTTTTGCCTGCAACAATGATAAATGGTGGTACTGCCCAACCTTGAGAACTAACGCCTTGGATTACTGTAACCCATTCCCGATTACCAGGCTGTACCTTCTTTGCTTTTGCCCGCCCGTCTGAGCTTGTTACAACCATAGCAGTTGAGATAACGCCCATCATAAACCCAGTCTCATCAAAGTTGTAGATATCTGCTTCATCGATACCATATTTCGCAATTGTGTTACGCACAAGCTCAAACCAGCCATTAATAACTTCTGGATCTTCGCACTTAGCCCTCTGGTAGTCGTATTTGCGCTGAAAGCGTGTCTGGAGCTCTACACGCCGCTTAACAAAGTTTGAAGCCCAACGCGACCCAACGCGTGACGCGTCGCGTGTTGCAAGTAGTCGACTTGCCATATCTTCAACAACAGACAGCCGAGGAGGAAACCCTTTGGCAGCTAGGTCGAGTATATACTGAACAAGGACGGACTCCTCTAGGTTAGTTAATTTCCGTGAGTTGGCTTGGATATCGCGTCGTGAAGGTACACCTTCTAGACGACGACCTAGCTTGCGGTGGTCCACAGAATAGATCCTAGCAGCAACTCGAAGGCGTAACTTTGGGTCGCTTTGCATAGCCTGGATAGCTAGCACTAATTGGCTTTCATCGTTTTTATGGGGCATGTTTTGTTGTTGAGGAATTTAACATTTAGTTGGGGGGTTTGGTCACCGCATCATTTTGGCGCTTTCGCTTGTTTGGCGCTTTCGCTATACATGTACGTTAACCACAACAAATCAACAACTTTGTCTTGCCTGGTAAGTTAAGCACCTGCATCCTCAACCTCACCTTTCGTCTCATCAACTGCACTTCCCAATCCTACCGCAACCTATAAAATGTTATATTTGTTCACTTTGGTCCAATTTCTGCACCGCTCCTGGTGCTGGCCATCAAAGGCAAACAATGCACCCTTTCCTGAGCGACGACACCAGTGTCAAGAGAATTAACCGGAAACTCTGTCTAGTGCGCCCAAGCCGCCGCAAAGCGAGAAGCAGTCCATCCTACGACTTGGGATACGTGCTCAGTATTGGCTACAATCTTCATTCACAATATGATAAATCTGCTCCGGCTGCTGCACCTGTGGCTACGCCAACGTCCATCACTGTTACGCGACACTTGTGCGCGAATTGCGGGAACTTTATTTCAAAGGAGATGGCGATGAACTGCAACAATCCCCTCTAGTGGCTATTAGAGAACCAATCAGGCGTAGGTCCAGCGAGTTGTTGCTAGCATCTGTGCGGAGGACTAGAAGTTCTTCTCAGCGGCGGAGGACTCGTCGCGGTAAAGCTCAACCACTTTCGGAACACTATGAATACGATAGTCAGCAATCTTCGGATCTAGAGGGACTCGCCGAGAAAGCATATAGGTATTATCTCAGCGACGGCGCACCTCTTCATAAGAGAGATCGCTCACCAGGGCGCTCGAGACATAGATCCTCAAAGTCACAGGTCCATAGACGAAGAGTGTTAGCGCAGGCTTTGGAGGATTATCTTTCCGAGGATTCCCTGGCCAGATTCCGTGAAGCCGCCTCAACCAGACGGAAGGAGCGGGAAAGTTTGCCACCACAAAATGTTCGCAGTGCCCATCCTGGGATTCAAGAAGAGTTGAAGAACCTCAAAGACGATGAGATGCTTGTTGTCACCGAGCGCTATGTCTATCGGCCACAGAAATCTATATCGGCCGTTGGAGAGTTGAGGGATGAACGGGCGGACCAAGACAGAAAACCACATCGAGCTTCACAGAGGCTCATCGGCCATAATGATGTTGCGGAGTATTTCCCCGAAGAATGGAGTCGGACTAGAAGCCGTACCGGTCAACACACCAAGTATCAGCGAATTCGACCACGCGATCTGGACGGTGCAGCTCTGCCGAGCGGAACAGGGAGCTCTGAAGCAAGCGTCGACCAGCAGAGTTATCATGAAGGTTTGCATCGTATCGAGCACGCATAGACAAATGCTAATATAAAACCAGGCACAAATATTCGACCACTCCTCCCACCAGCACCAACACCTCCGAGCGTCTCGACGGCAACCAGTGGAAGCGTGGATACATACAGTTACTCCTCACGCGATACGACAGAGTACACTCCCTCCAACGAGCCACGTGTCTATCGCCCTTCTCGTCTCCCAGGCGAGCACCAACCTAGTTCTGACTCCGGTTCTTCGCTGCATGCCGCGTCGCCTCCTGTTGCCGCGGGCTTCGAGACAACAACGCTCGCCTACCCGCATGAGCTGCGAATCGCGCAGATACCGCTCGCCATCCGTTCGGGATGCAAATAGTGGAGGAAGTGAAGGGGCAAGGGTCCCGTCGCGTAGCCGGTCAAGGGAGAGGCTGGTGTTTTACTCTGAGGGAGAGGAGGAGCCAAGCGATTTAACGGCGAATGATCGGATTGACAAGCGGAGGGTGGCGTTTGGACCGAATCAGGTGAGGACGATTAGTAGAGAGTCGTTGGCGTCGGAGGGGAGGCGAGAGAGGGAGAGGGAGCGGGAAAGGGAGTTTGGGGTTGCAGGGATGAGATATGGGCACTAAGAGAGGAAAGAAGATACATGGGAGTATGATGAGGAGGGTGGAGATGTGAATGTCTGACAGATGAAAGATGCGGTAGAATGACAATTGTAATTCTTTAATGCTTCGGGTTTCTACGCTGGCAGTTTCCATCATGCAGAAGGAATGACTTCAGCTCGCATGAATTGTAGTTCCATCGGGCTGGAGATATCGTTCTTATATTATGACATGAATATTCTCTCTTATGTGTGGGCAAGACGCTAGCTAGCTATACATTTGTTCAGCCGCTAGATCTTCAGCGTAGTCCACATTCTTAACTGCTAGTATTTGTAAAACGATATAATTTGGTATCAAATTGCAAAACAAGTCTAAACTCCCGTACCCACGCTATGCAAAAACCATTCCCACTTAAGCTTTGCTCTTAATCTTCAATGGCGCCTCTCTGCTAGCCAAAAACTCCTTGCTGAACGGATAATCGGTGTACCCCTCTTCTTGCATGGCGTTGTAGAACGTCTTGCGGTTGTACGGCGTTAGCGCTAGTCCCTCGCGGATCCTGTACACCAAATCCGGGTTCGCGATAAAGTGGCGCCCGAAGACAACGACAAGCTTGAATCCCTCATACTCTTTCACGAGCTCCTTCGCGCTCTCGCCGTCGAATCCACCAGCAATCAACAACGGCTTCTCCTTGCCCCATACCTCGGCCAGGAAGCGAACAGAGTCCCTCTCCTCCTTGGTTCCATCGAATCGGCCCTCGACAAGATGCAAGTAAGCGAGATTGAACTTCTTCAGCTCATTCACGAAGTACGTGAACTGCTCGGTCGGATCAACAACGTTCATTCCGTACCCCTTAAAGTAAGGGCTCAATCTGATACCGACCCTCTCGGCACCGACAGCCTCAACAACAGCCTTGACTACCGCGATTCCGAAGCGTAAGCGCTTCTCAACACTCCCTCCCCAGTGATCGGTGCGCTGGTTGCTCACTTCCTCCAGGAACTCGTGGGGCAGGTATCCATTCGCGTTGTGGACCTCCACGCCGTCGAAGCCGGCCTCGATGGCGTTCCGCGCTGCCTGCGCATAGTCGCGGATGTACTGCTGGATCTCCTCCTCCGTGAGAGCCTCCGGAAGCGCACCACCGGGCGCCGCGATGGCGCTAGGTGCCTTGACGGTCTGTCCCTCACTCTCGGCGCCCTCCTTGTCCGCAGTGCGCCCAAGAGCCCACAGCTGGCTGAAGATGATACCTCCACGGGCGTGCACGGCTTTAGTGACGGGCTTCCAGGCGGCAATCTGGGCGGCGTTGTAGATTCCCGGGGCATGTTTGTAGCCAACAGCGGCAGGAGAGACATACGTCGCTTCGGTGATGAGGAGGGTGCCGGGAGTAGAGGCGCGCTGGGCATAGTGGGTTGCTACCATGGGGAGGGGAACATGGGCATCGGTCGCGCGGAAACGGGTGAGGGGCGCGAGGGCGAGGCGGTGTTGGAGGGTGTGGTTGCCGAGGGAAAGGGGGGCGAAAAGGTTGCTTTGAGTGACTGTCATTGTGGCGGTTTGCAAAAGAGTGGATGGGAGAGTTGTTCTTGGGTGAGTGATGAGCAGGCCAAGGCAAGTCTTATATCTTGTTTCATTCTCTTGATCTCTATTGCCGGCCTAGGAGGGGTTCTTATAACCGGCCCTCTCCCCTCCTCCACTCCCCCACTAACTCTTCATTGGCGACAACAGTATGCTTGATGGCCTTCTTTCTTGATGATTAATCAGCTTTCTTCACCATTGACTTACCAATCCCCAGGGCGGCATTTGCGCCAGAAACCCACCGAAACACCGATCGAGCACGGCTTGTAGGGCCCATTGAAAGTATAGTGCACGCAATTTCTAGTTGTCGCCAATGAAATTTCTGCATTTCTCGCCCACACCTCGGCTCGTTCCTAGATCGCACTTTTGTATTTCGCGGCTAGTCGATCTTGAGGATACAGGTCAGGGGGAACGCTAGGATAAACTCAAGATGAATTGCCAAGGCTCGCTTAAACCTAACTTACCACCCACAACCTCATCTGACTCGGCTTCACCTACGCCCATTCTCTCTGAGCTCTACAACCTTGCATAACCTCCACCAAAGACGCAAAGATGGCCGAAAAGTTGAAGGATACAGTATACATTCCTAATGTATTGAAAAGTGATTACTAACTTTTGCGGCTCTAGATACCACGCCCTCAAAATAGTCGGACCTTTTCTATACGTTTGGTCGCAAAATCACTTCATTATTATGGCTTTGTTAATACATTACGAATACATTAGAAAGATGTAAAGGGAAACATAATCTTTATTAGTAGAGAAGTTTATTGCCACGCTACTAGGGTTAGCACAAATAATCATAATAATCATGACTAACGTGGTTTATCAGGACCCTGGCCATATCATGACCCTGGCCACTTTTTTACTACCCCACCACTTTCAAGTACAATTGAACAACCACAACACATATAATTAATTAAAACTACTCGGATTCTGATGAAGCAGACATATGTACATCGACTTGACAAGTTCGCACATTATGACCTGTTTCTCCACAAGTGCCACAACGCCGTGAAGATGATTACCCCTCTTTTCGATTGCTTCTCTCCACATGCAAATCGCATCGAACCTGTTCATCCACGTGCTTTTGAGCAATAATATCCTGTGCATCCTCTATAGTAAGTGCACCTTCTTGATGGATATGGTTCTTTTTAGCCCTACGGCATTTGCTAAGGGCTTCGTTTGCGGCTCGAAGTGTCCGAACCTCACCTAACAAAAGAGTATTCTCATGAGCTAATATCTCTGTACCTTTCGCCAACGTGGCAACTGTTTAAAAAACCAGTGTTGGAGAGCTTCCTTGATGGCGTGCAATCCGATTCTTAACAAGAGTTATCTGTGAAAGAGCGTCAGTTGGGTTGTGAGGCGTTTGAGAGACCCAAGAATCAGCGTTAGTGAGAGGGGGTCCGGTTGGTGTAGGGGTCTGTAACTTGACATCTAGCTTCGAAATCATGGCCTGCGGGTCAAAGGGTATTAAGCCAGCTCCACGGAATCCAGCCTTTGCATTATTAGTTGTCATTGACTCCAAATACGCTGCTTTGAAGGCTAAAAGGAACTCGACCTTAGTGATGTGGTTGATATGAGCCTTAATAAAAGTCTCGATTTGCTGACCATATGCCCGCTTCAAAACACTAAAACACCCAACATCGAGTGGCTGGGTAATGTGAGAAGAGTGTGCAGGTAATCCAAGAGTTATAGTGTTATGGCTTTTGCAATACTCTTGAAATTCGGCCGATTCATGGCTCTCATGCCCATCAAGGACCAACATCCGATATAGACCCTTTGCTCGAGCTTTGGTATGCTTATTGAAGTGCTAAAGCCATTCCAGACCCGTTTCATTATTGGTCCATCCATTGCTAGTAGTTTTGATCACCCAGTCATATGGCAAGTTGCTCTCCGTATACCAATTTGCAAGATGATTTTTCCCTTGAACTACCAAAAATGGAGAAACGCTCCAGCCATCGCCATTGATACAAGCAATTGCTGTAGCCCATTCTCGATTCCCTGGCTGAACAGCTTTGCCTCTGCCACGTCGATCGGCGCGTGTAACAACCATAGCTGGGCAAATTGCAATTCTGAATGCCATATTTTGCCTGCATATTTTCTACGAGCTGGAACCACGTGCCAATAAGCTCAGGACCTTCGCACAAGGCTCTTTGGAAATCATAAGTGCAATTAAAACGCGTCTTGAGAGTTGGTTGTCATTGTATGAATCGATCCGCCCAGAGCTTCTGACACGTTTCCCTCCTCGCGATTCTAGGATAAAATTGGCCATATCTTCTACACCAGCCAGCCGGGGCGCAAACCCTCTGGAATCTAAATCAAGTATCTTTTGAACAATCACTTCCTCCTCTAATTCAGTCATCTTGTGGTTTGCTGGTCGGCGTTCGCAAAGAGTAGTATGACCGTTCATTCTGGCAGTTAGTATCTCAACAACCCTTTAATAATAAATTATAAAACTAAGCACTTAGTCTTTTCTGGGTGTTTAAAGAGCTCTGTTTGAATTTCAAAGCAGTACGCCTTGTAGCTATTGAGATATTAACTTTTGGCCCCCACTTTTGAGCCAAATCTTAGTATCTCAATAACTACAACTCCAATTGCTTTAAAAATCAAATGAAGGACTTTAAATGCTTATAAAAGACTAAGAATTTATTTTTATAATTTATTATTAAAGGGTTGTTGAGATATTAACTTATAAAATCCGTGATTTAAGGTGTAAAATAGATTGGCACATTCGCTTGTTTGGCACATTCGTTATACATGTCAAATACCACGAGACTGCCCTATAGCCGATAAGCTAACAGCAAGGCTAAAGTAAAGTAGGGGGAGCAGGATCATAGGGGGGCCCTAGGCGGCGATGAGAGTGTGACTAACATGGGGTCATTAGTGTTACGATTATAGCTCACAGCTTGTTACGGTTATTATGGGTGCAGCCTTAGCCACTAAGGCTACAACCGCTAAGCGGACAACTGTATATTACAAGGAATAGCCTCACCTTCCTTCCTTCTTCTTCTTCTTCTCTCTTTAGATTCAGTCTAGCTTACTTTACCCGGACTGGCACCATGAGCTCCGTGACCATCATAACAGTTAGGAGCCTAGGCGACAATGAGAGCGTGACTAACGCAGGGCTGTTAGGGGGGGGCCCACGCGACGATGAGAACGCGACTAATGCAGGACCGTTAGGGAACTAGGGCAACAAAGAGAGTGTTACTAACGCAGGGCCGGCGACTAACACAGGGCCGTTAGGGAACTAGGGTGATAAGGAGAGTGTTACTAATGCAGGAGCTAGGTGTAACAGAAGAAGAAGAGGATCTAGAAGAGGAATTTATAGCTAAATTAATACTTTAAGTAGTATTTAGATAGGTTAATATATATTTGGTTTAGAGAGGTTCTTCCTAGGTTCCTAGGTGTCGTCTAACACTAAGTACCCCTTCTATCACACGAGGTATTAGTGCCCCTTCCTCATCTCCCTATAGGTCTAGATGGATTGGACTTCCTATTCCTTGTGGTTGTCTATCTAGACAGGCATTGCTGTTATGGTGGCAGACTAGGCGTACAGCTCAAGTAGGGAGACGTAGAATACGTTGTGTATTTTGTATCTAGGGGGTAGGGAGAGTTAGTAGGACTAACCATGTAGGCCTACTAGCTCCTTAACACAGAAGGGGCCAAGGTACTTGTTGGCGAGCTTCTAGTTAGGTCTAAGTTGGCAGATGTTATTAGCTGCTAGCATCACCTAGTCGCCGACTCGGAATCGTTTTGGCGTGTGCCTCCTATTGTAGTGCTTTTTGTAAGTGTCAGTCACTCTATAGAGCATCCCCTTAAGCTGTCACCTTTCTTGCTACATTAGGTTAACCTAGGTCACCACCAACTCGCTGCTAGGACAGGGTGTCATTGTCATTATGTCTAGGGACAGGTGGTTTCCATATAGCAGGTAGAGGGGGAATAGCCTATCGACTTGTAGATGGAGTTGTTATAGGATATTTCAGCTAGGGCTAGCTTGCTCGCCTAGTTGCCCTAGGCGTAGTCACAGTAGCATTAGAGGTATTGTTCTATAACATCTAGTTCTAGCACTCCGTTTAGCTGTTGGTTTGAGGCTAGAATGCTATGCTAAGGCGTCTCCTCATGCTAAGATAGAACATAAAGCTTCCCTAGAAGGCGCTTGTGAACTAACCCTCTGTTAGAGGTAATACCAGCTGGTGTGCCGTAATCCTTAAAGATTGTGTTTATAAAAACCTCTGCTAGTTCTAGGGCATCTATAGTTGCATTTATAGGGATATATCAGCACATTTTTATAAACTGGTCAATAACCACAAGGATAGAGTCGTATACCTAGCCTTGGTGCAGGCAGCCTAATGATGATAGGAGGGCAGAACAGTGTAATCTCACTATAGGGCACATGCTGCTTCGTCTTTGTTTGTTAACAGACGTCGTAGGTTCGTATACACGCCTTTACATCCCCCCTCATCCCTAGCCAGTAGTATTTGTGCTAGAGCAGCTCCTAGGTGCGTGCAAATACAAAGTGGCCCACCTACGGGCATCATGGTAGGGGCCTAGGAGCTCGTCTCTTATTGCTAGCGCATTAGGGACGTACATGGCATTCTTGCAGTAGAGCAGGCCATCATCTTTCATAGACCACAAGCCTTCTTCCCTTCCAGCTCAGCGGCCCTACAGTGTTGTTCCATCTCTCTTTTAAGCACGAAATCATGTCCCTCCTATAGGGCGAGGATCGCTTCCATTGTCGTTTGTGTAGGGGGTGCATATGGCACTTCCCTCCTTGCGATGGGGATCGCAGCTTCCCGCATTAGCAGTACAGCTCCTATAGCTGTGCTTAGCAATTAGGGCAGCCCTACCCTAGCGCTAGGTCAGGGTCGTCTTCCCTCAAATGCTCCCCTGTCTCTTCTTCATAGCTAGTGTTCATATGTAACGCTGACTTCTAAATGATAGAAGACACAGAGGTTTCTTGCGTAAGGTTGACTTGACAGAGGAGGCAGGGGATTAGACACAAAGGCTTTTCAAGTAACACGTTACAGTATTGTAAAGAATACTATATTAAGTTGAGCATGAAGCTCCTATCTAAGGAAATACTATCTACTTATATAGTGGCGTCATGCCAAAGGGATATCCGTGGATAACATGAATAACATAATATCCATGATATCCAATGTTATCCATCACGTGAGGTTGCAGCCATAAGCGCTAGCCATAGCACTAGCACTTAGCCGTAACACTAGGTCCCCCCCTAATAGGCCTAGTCCCTAGGTCTTGGTGATTAAGTAGTATGCTGACTACTTAGGTAGGGTGGCACCCACCACTGTCCATAGACAGTCAGGCTTTAACCATGTCTTCTTCCAAACATACCAAATCAAAGAACGTCTTGCTCTT